ATATCCATGAGTGTCTGGGCCAGCTTATGCGCACCTCGACCAATCTCATGGGGCAACCGCCTGACCTTGATTCTATGTTTTGTTATGACTTCATGTTAGTAAATGTTTTTCTTGCATTGTAACTAATTCATTCTCATTATAATTTGGTATATTTTTCTATATTAAATCTGATCAGGGAACAAAGTATACTCAATTCAAGCCAATCATTGAGAATTCTTTCGAACTTAGCTGCTTCTGGAGTCATCCAATGCAGTGGGCGATTTGATGAAATTATATATGAACTTCTAGTGTTCATTGGCGTTGTTGTAAACTTGAAATCGATTGAAATTAATGATTTAATAATAAAGGTATATGTCTTTGAAGTTTCATTAAATTTAAAGTGAATTATAGATACCATCTATTTATTGCACATTCTGACCTAATTTTAGGATCTTGACTTTGGTTATGCATTGTTATATCTATTCATTTGCCTCTTCAAACTTGCAAGTTTTTGCTTTTGATAAAATTTATTACCATTCTTAATTCCAGTTACCTTCAACATGCATTACAAATTTTCTTAATATTCAAACAAACAGTTTCTTTTCGTTTCACTGTGTGCTTTTAACTTTCAATATTAAATAGAGGGTTGCCTTTTTATTACTAGAATTACTTCCCTAAGTAAGCCAGCGCGGTAATTTGTGACAATTCATGCTTCTCAAAGATTTTATAAGGGTGTGAATATTAATCATCAGTCTGTTAGGTTCATGATTTATCTATCCATTGTTCAATAACTAACTATATGCTTAGAACAATTAGATTTGAAAAAATAATTTTAATCGTTGATTTCAATGGAATGCATTTGTGCTTTGAAGATTTATAAACTTTTGAATATGAGTTTCTACTTTGATTGTTTCAAATGTTTTTTTTTATTTATAAATATGTATTTGATTCACAAACTAAATAGACACAATATTTCTTCTTTTATAGTTGGTTCAGTCTTCATTAGCTTTTTAGGAACAATTTTGTGATGCAACTTGGATTCCTTGTAATTGCAGAGTTTCTCAATTGTTAGAACATTGGTGAGTAAGTCTGGAAGTATCACGGGAAGTTTGTGCTTAAGGCATTGGGTCACTTCAGTGGAAATATTTGCTCAGGTTTATAATCATTTATTTATACTGCTGCTTAAATAGTATTTCAGTTATTAGCTTCTACCTCTCTAACCTTATTAAATTTTTAGGTTATATGTTCTAGTGGAGATTCATCTGGAGAAGTTGTATGTGAATCCATTGCTTGTGTTGCTGTTATGTTGTCTAAAGTAGCTCAAGGTCTTATAGCATCTTCTTCCAGTTCAGGTCCTGAGGTAGTTGGTGCTCCTAATGACACGTTGAGAAAAATTTTGGATCATGCTATGACATCTGGTTTGGTAGATCATTTGTGTCTTTGCTTAGCGACTTCAGGAGCAAGCCTTATGTCAGGTTCTTCAGCTCTACTACGAGCTGCTTGTGAAGCATGTAGAGCTCTTTGGTTACTAATAGAGTCACTCGAGGTTCTTTTTGTGAAAGAGGACACTTATTCATTTCCCTTGAATGCTTTTAGAAGTCATTCTCAACTTAAGCTTGACATTAGGGACCATGAAAGGGAATCTTTCCAAGGATCAGATTCAACAAAGGTTGTTGATGCAGTGACCAGGGCATTTCTTAAATCAAATGCAATACAGGTTTCTATTTACTATTGCCTCCACCAACGGCATGAAGCTGCCTTGTCTTCTTGCATTCAGGTGTTTATTTAATAAGCAGATTTTTTAGTTTCTTTTATTATTTTGAAATGGTGATTTACGAGAGAGAAGGCAACACCTCTCTTGAAAGTTTTGTTAAGTTGAATAAGTTTTTTTTTTCTTCGGCTACTCCCATGTTTAATTAAGAGATAATATTAGTTACATTTTTATTGTAGATTCTGCTGAGATGCTGCGTACATAATGGAATTGTTCCAGCCGTTCTTTGTGGTTTGCCCAGTTCCCTCCCTGTAACTACTGTTGTAAGTGGTGGAGGGGATGGCACTATAGTTGGAGAGATATTCAATGTACTATCTTTATGTACTTCAATTTTAAATAAAGATTCACAAACAGGTGATACAAGTAACTTGAAGTCCAAGCTAGTCAATCCTTCTTACTTGGTTATGCATTCCTGCCTCTTTCTTGCTACAATTGCTCAATGTTTAAAGTCGATGGGCAGAAATTCTGCATTATTTATGTTGACCACCTCTCCAAAAAAGCAACACTCACGACTTACAGTTCTTGCCCACAATTTTTCTTCTGACGACAAAATAAGGAATGCTGTCTCATCTCATTGTGCATCAGCCATGTTAGCTCTTGCATCCATTCTCTCGCTTGAAATTGGAGCTTCAGTCGAGTCTTCAGTGTCTGAAATATCTATTCCTCTGATTCCCAGAACGGCAACATTGTGTGATTATCTCAAAATTTCATCACCAGGCAGCAATGATGGGCATGCAAATGACTATAATGGAGTCCTTTCACACTGGCATGGCCTCATGGATGGATGTGTTGGCTTATTAGAGGCTAGGCTGAGGTGGGGGGGACCTCTAGCTGTTCAACAGTTGTGTGCTAGTAATATACCTTTCCTGCTTATTGATATGCTGGCCACAAATGGTTCAAGTGCTCCTCAAGGAATAGATGTCAAGAACAATCGAGTAGGGCTGTCACCCATTGGGCTTGTATGGACTGTTTCATCAATATCCCATTGCCTTTTAGGCGGGTCTTTGACTTTTCGTCAGATTTTAATTAGGAATGATAATGTCAAACACATGTCTGACTTGATATCTGATGCTCATCTCAAGCTTGTAAGGGGCTGGGGTGGGCTTGGTGGAGGCAAGAGTGGAATCAGAGACGTAATAAATGTAGTAATTGATCTTGTTGCATTTCCTTTTGTTGCTGTACAAAATGGCCCAGGCTTGCCATCTGCCACTGCTTCTGTGAATAGTGGGTTCCTACTCAACATGGGTTCACCAGGGGGAAGAGTTTGCGTGGAAGACAAGGATCTGCTGAAAGCAATAGAGGAAGACTTGGGAAAATATATTAAAATTCTTTTGGAGGTTAGATCTTGCCCATTGTATTTAAGAAATGGTTGTAAAATTTGAAATTTGAGGTGTATGACCTCGACTATAATATTTGGAGGAGTATAAGAAGTATATTGTTAAAAAAAATCCCATTCTGCATACCTGATTCTTCACTTAGGTGTTCTACCAAAGGAAATATTGATATTTATGGTTAAACTTGCTAGCATTTATATTTTTTTTTATCTAAGCCTGTGAATTTTATAGGTGGGAGTTCCTGGCATTGTTGTTCGATGTTTGGAATATTTGGAGTTCAAAGATATTGAAAGGCCTGTTGCATTTCTTGCTAAAATGATTAGCCATCGACCTCTAGCAGTTCAACTTGTGGGTAAAGGCCTGCTGGATGCAAATAGGATGCGTAGGCTGCTCAACACTTCAAATACAAGAGATATTTTACTGGATATTTTAATGATTGTTTCTGATCTAGCTCGAATGGATAAGGTTAGATTTCTTTCTTCATTTTTTATGCTTTATATTAAATGACGACATCCTTGTCATATTATCTTTTCTTTTCTCTGATAAAGTAGATTTTCTTGAAAATGAGAAATCAATTTCTAGGCATGGAACATTTGCATAAGCAACTTTCCTCAGTTGGTCATTAACTTGGATTAAGGGCAAGGTTTGACAGAACATTAGTCATTTCTCAAAATATATTTTCATTTTGTGCTTGTGGGAACATCCGTATTATTTTATCTTTTCTTTGTAAAGTAGTTTTTTCTCATTAGAGCAATCAATTTCTAGTCATTGTAGATGCAAATCAACTTTGTGATAAGAAACTTATCTCATTTGGTCATAAACTAGGATTATTGAGGGGGTATGATTTGACTGAGCATTTATATATATATATATATATATATATATATATATATATATTATATTCTGATAAGAAATAAGCAGCTTTTGTTAAAGGAAGTGAAATATAAAAGACCAAGGAGCAGCTTAGCTATGAAGACATTACTCAAAATATTCATTTGGTCCCTAAGGAAATTGTTACATTCTCCCTTTAAATTTTGTGAAGTATTAGGATCTTAGCTATGATGACATTGACTTAGTTTTACTTTTTCCTATCACACTTGAGATTGATGTAGGCATCACACTAGAGATTGATGAAACATCAAGGGAGAAGGATGATTATATTTCAGTGTTCTACCTTTCGATTTCTCTTCTTTTTCTGTAAAGTATGTTCAAAGAAGTTGGGCTTATAGCAGATCAGTGGATGGGCTAACTTTTTGGTAGTCAAGCATTTGATAAGTACCTCTTTTCGATACAATGTTGATGTGGAGCCTTTTAACTACCGAGGAGTAGGGAGAGGGCATGAGTGTTCATGTTGGGGGAGGGAACTGAAGTGAGTTCCTTTGTAGATGTTTCAGGGACTCGAATCCTTCAGAAAAGTACTGATGGGTACCCTGATAAGGCCCATTGAGTACATTTTGTTTTTCTCTATAGTACGTAGTTTCTCAACCTAACAAAAATAGGTAGAATTTTGTAAAATATGTAGAATTTTACACAATGTTTTAAAAGGCTAAAGGCAGCCCGGAGGTTTTTCTTTTGAAGAGGCGAGGCGCAAGCCTCAGTTTTAATTAAAAAAATTATACAAATTATACAGATCTAAAATTTGTATGATCAAGTATTGCTAAACATAATAGTTGTATAAAAGTATAAAAAAATTTACTTGTTAATTGCCACTTTAATAAAAATCCTAAAAGTATATCCTCAATATCACTACTAGTATCACTAAAAGGATTGACTTATTCTATAAAATTATTCCACTCCTGGTTTTAAGGTCTAGATAGTAAAAGTGATAATAGATTGAATTGTTACCATTCCTATAACGCATTCCATACTGAAAGAAACCTTTATATTTTGTAAGAATTGGGCAAATTAATAATATTATTTTAATCATCACACGAGATGTAAAGAAGTGCGTCTTCAAAGAGGCATAAGCCTCTTATGGTTCAAAGAAGGTGTAAATCTCAAGGCTCTAAGCCTGATTTTACAAAATTCTACATATTTTTGTTAGGTTCAGAAAACTACATATTATAGAGAAAAGAGTTACATTATGAATTTTGAGATACAAATGAAAATTTTATCTTGAATACAGAGTGATTATCAAAACTAGATTGTTAACAAGAGGAGTTGTGATGGGATAGGCTAAGGGGTAGTTTAAATGCTTAGTGGATCTTGCCACTACATTTTAGAAAGGGAAATAGAGATGAGCTGCTACGGTGCAGTGGGGGTGAAAGGGTTGAGGAAATACAATTAGTTTCACAGAAGTTGGTTTATTTTACAAAATGTTGAAAATGTTTGGATTGTTCCTTTGTTTGTTTTCGTCTTGTGTATGTTTTATTTATTTTATTTTTAATAGGCCCTCCCTTTTATACTTTCATTT